ATAAAATTCGAGAAGTGATGAGTGAAATGGACCTGATTTATGACAAGGACGATTTGCGGGCTTTGCAGTACATTTGCGCTGTTGTGTCTCTCAGAGCTGCTCAACTGGTTGCTATTTGTGAGTCTCAAGAATTTTATATTTTTTTGGTATACTTGTACGTCTTTATTCGTTGATTTTTTCATCTTGCATGAAATTTTCAATTTTTTTAACCTTATTATTAGCTATTTCCATAATTTATGTTTTGGAAGATGCGAAAAGAATATTTGAATATTCGCGCCAAAAATAGCTCAAATTATTAAAAATAAATATCATAAATCGATTATTTTCAATTCGTATTTATTATGGGAATACCGTATAATCTCATGGCAGCAAAATATTGGGTGCTGAATTCCAGAATTACAGCCAAACCTCTTCAAGCCAATTTCACAGGGACTCGCAAATTATTTACTTTGAGGTTTTAGTCACGAGGAACCTTTTTTTTTGCTGCGTAAAAATTAGGAATTACAGGAAGCTAAAATTGCAGATAGTTGGGACATCTTCCATTTTGCTTGATAAATGAGTTGACAGGATGCTGAACTTGAGGAATTTCGAGGATAGATTTGTAGAAGTCTAACTATCAATTGAAAAAAATTGTTACTTTTTAGTTGCTACAGGTGGTACTTTGCAATTCAACCCAAATCCGTTGCTGGACTAGGGTCAGATTGCAAAGCAGTCAAATTGCAAGATGACGTCAAATGGCATGTTTTCTACATGGCATTTGATGTTTTATGTCTCTCACAGGCCAAATTGTGCAGCAGAGGTCAAATTTGAGAGTCAAACTCCCAGCATATTCAACAGTCAAATTATGGGAAAGTTGAATTGTGGGAGGTAAAATTGCATGGTACCACCTGAAATATTCTTCTAGAGACCCTAGAATAATTATCACAAAAGCCTCTCAAAATTTGAGTTGTGTAAGTCAAAGGGGGAAGTCTTACAGTTGAAAGAATCACTATTCAAGAATGAGTTCAGATAAGGACTAAACAAAAAAATTTACATAGTGAGTTGTTTGATTTAGGGAGGATGAAGTCAGCCAAGTCCAACTCTAATTAAATTTTCAGTTTTCAGTCATAAAAAATTGATTTCCTACATTTAAGGTGTGGGATACTTGCTGACAAGGATGAACAAGCCAACAGCAACAATTGCTGTGGATGGATCATTGTACAAGAACCACCCAAGGCTGAAGGGACTTATGGATCATTACACAGCAGTTTATGCACCTGGTTGCAAGGTCTGCATTTTACTAATTTCAAAGCAAAATTTGAAAATTTTCAACATTTTGTTTTTAAATTTGAATAGTTTCAATACATGCTGGCTCTGGATGGAAGTGGAAAGGGTGCTGGGATGGTGGCAGCCATTGCAAAAAGACTCACAGAGAAAAGGACAAAGAGTGAATCTGATCCCAACTGAGAACTTTTTGCTAAACTTTCTTTGCAATACTGTATGTAGAAATGGATCTTCTTGAGAATAATTGCAGTGTTTTTCATGTATGATTCCTTTCCTCACTCGAAAAAAAAATCGGAATTACTATACAAGAGAGTAAAGGGGAACTGGTTTTATCTTTGAAAATAGATAATTTTTTTTTATTTCCTGCTTTATTGTCTTGAATCGTGACCTATAGGAATTCAGAGAACAACCCTTGTCTCAAAGTTCTCTTCAACCGTTGAAAGTCATCACGAGACCATATCATCGGGTTTGGAAAGATGAATTTGACACAAAGCAGTAAAAATTCTTGATTCAAGGTCGCCGACGTTTCAGTAGCTGCCCAGTTTGGATTTTAAATTCATAAATCCTTTTTTTTTTGCAGATTTTTTTCTCCATAAATCCAAAAGAAGAAGCATCAGAAACTCGAGAATCGCATAAAGCCTGGGTTTTATTGTTCGAAAAATTATTGCGCCCTTTTCAAAATCCGCAATCTGAACGCCGATCACAATCTCAAGGCACATAACAAAAACTTCGCCTTGTCTCTTCACTTTTTAGCATCTAAATTTCATCTCCCACGTCATCATCGTATTTCGAAAGAAAGAGGGAGCTTATANATATATTGGTCCACGTGTGGCCCGTGGTAATCGAATGGGAACTGCGGTGGATCGTCGACCCTGCGAAAAATATTTCTTCACTCATTTGATTGCGTAGTACTTGAAAAGATGAATCTGCAAAAACTGTTTCAAGCAATACTTGATGGAATGAATGATCATTTCGATCTATTAAATTCGCTGATGAGACGTGATGAACCAACCTGTACTTGAAGAGCCGCTCGTTCAAGGCATAGAGCTGATCTGATTGACCACACCTGACCTTGTACCACCAGTCACATGTGTAGGATCTTTGGTCGAAAATAGTTCCATTCGGACATAAAAAGGACGACTGTCTGCCATCCAAGTCACAATAATGCCAAACCTATATTCAAAATAATTACACAATTTTATTTGATTTTCAGCAAAAACATCTACCCCGAAATAAATAAATAAATATATTTTTAATATCTTGATCATTTATTCGGGCTTTCGTGTTCCTGATGGGGACTGCATTTTGCAAAAAATATTCTGGCTGTGTCACATATGGAAGCGTCAAGTGCCAAAGTCAAATGCAAAATTCCAACGTTAAAAAATTCTGACTCGTATTTCATATACTGTACATACTTTATTATATTATCAAAATGACTAAATTAAATCGTGGGTCATTGCTGAAAATGTGTAACCCTCCCTCTATTTAATCAGACTTTGTTGACTAACAAATTTCTCTGCTAAAAAAAAATTCAGCATAACAAAATTACCATTCATATGCTTTATACACTGGCTGAGAACCTCTGAACCAGGTGCAAAATTGTCCTTGATACAGTACAAACTCGCGTTGCCAAATCGAGCTTATAAATAATCCAGAAAAGTTCATACTAGAACAAATCGAATTTCTTGGACGAAACCCCACTGTATTTTCAAGGTCGAAGAGTTCGGTTAGATTCCATATGAAATAAAAACATGGCAGAAAGGTTCAGGTTTTTCAGCTTAGCATAGATTACAAAAAAGGAATAAAAATATATGGTGTTTCAAAATATGAAATGAGATAAACAATGATGCAATTAAATGATTTGATGGAATTTGATGTTTCAAAAATTACCTGGCATCCAGAATTAATGTCTGCAAAGGGTCCCTTGTACAGCTGCTTGGAGCAGTTGAACCCAGTTTCAGGTATAACCCCATACGCCGGGTACTGAGGCCTATTATTGACCT